CATCGTTGAGCGGTCGGTGAGGGAAAGTGGACGACATGACCTTTCGGCCAATGATCAGAGGAACAACGGTGATGCCTACACCGGTGGCAGCAGCAAACACCCAGATCAGTAGGATGAAGGCTGCAATGCGAGTACGGAAGCGCGGCGGAATGTAAACTTTGGTGAACATGTCGTTGGCTCGCCCATGGAGACCCTGATCCGTATCCGGTGCCCCGTCAACCCGCTGATTAGACTCGGTCACCTCAAGGAATACTTGACTGCCTTTAGGGATGCGGACTTGATCGGAAGCAGGTGCCCGTACAAACCGTCCATCACGAGCGAAGTAGACACTGGGCTTCTCACTGTCGTCATTTTGCGGATGTCCATCGACTACCGGGTGTTCCGGATCTCCCTTGGCGGCTGACAAGACGTCCCACCAAGTCCGACGGGCGTGATATCCCTCTTCGTCGACTTGCCTCTCGCCAAAGAAAAAGTTGGTCAGGCGCAGAAAACGAGCGCACTTGTGGAACCACCAATCATAAAGATTGTGGAGACCGTCCGATGGCTTGATCGACTGAATGGCAAGCGGCATGACGAAGTTGTAGAACAACAGGTCCACGGGAAACTCCAAGACAGGAATAGTAGCAGACCAATGCACAGGAAGCACATCGTCGAAGGCGTAGTAGATTCCCCATACGACACCACCCAGACAGACAATGACCAGAGCGCCGTAGACAAGGGCACTGAACGCAATCTTCCGCAGCTGCGTTGTGATGTTGCGCTCCAGAACATCTCGCACCGGATGGAATGTCGGGTCGTCTGGATCGCGAATAAAGTCTAGTCATGAATTAGCAGAAGTTTGGGGAAGGAGGCAGGGTATTACTTACAAAGTACACCGCTCCGCATTATCTTCCTGCACATGGATACGAAAAGGGCAAAATGGAACATATAACAGGTTCCAATGAACCAGTGCACAAACAGAGACGTAAGGGGTGATGAGGAGGTGAACTCTAAACGCGACGCAATCGTGGCGTTCTCAAAGAGAGGTAACAGTGCAACATCAAGTAACGAACCGCAGTACAGTGGGAAAACAATCATTTCAATGCCGATGATGAGGATAACCTTCATCACACCACCTGCTTGGTGAAGTATGTCGGCAACAATGCCTTCCACTCTCTGTCCACGCTCACCACCAGAAAGCATATTGGTGAAACGCAAGTACAGAAGTCCGAGGGCCGACGCAAGAAGGTAGCCCATAAAGATAGCAATGACGCGATCTTTCGTATCCCACACAGCTAGATCATAACTGATGGTGATGCCTGCCGAAGCTGAACCACTCACACTGGAACCGAACCAGCTTGTGCCCTTCGAGGTGTAAAGCAACTGATGGACAAGGTCGTCAACCTGGTCCCGTGCCTGTACTAGTAGCTGGGCCAAGCCGTCAAAGCCATTCTCAACTGAAAAGGCACCCACCGGTCCATGAGAAACAATTCGAAGAGGGAAGTCATGCAGGATGAATTTGCCGACTGTGAAGGCCGTATGAGTAAAGGCGGCGATGCGCGCTTGGTGGATCTTTAGAGCTTGATGGGAAAGAACCGAGAACATAGGCACGTCGGATTCGTGGAAGACAAAGAAAGCCTGCAAAACATTCCGTAGTCGGTGACTACTGGCGTCAATGAGTGATAACGAGGCACTGGTGACGGACTTGGTCTGCGGAATCCATTCTCCCAATGGAACAAAAGCACCGAAGGGACTGAGCACCACTTTGCATGTGAGGCTGAGCCAGTACATAACGTAGCCCAAGCTACCAATAAGAGTGTCCAGCGTCACATCTGCGAAGACCGATATGGCAGTCATGGGAACGCCAAAGACCAGTTGTACGGGGTTCGCGAGGAGTACAAGGGCAATTTTGCCCCAGAGATAGGGAAGCCAAATGCCAATTGCCACGGTAAACGAGATCAAGAGCGCGCTGAAGACTCCATTCTGCAGAAGGCCAAAAATTGGTCCCTGCATGCCAATGAGCTCCAGAATGCCCTCCAAGTCATCTCCCTCCTCGACTGCCTCAGCGTCATTTGCATCAAGACCTAAGTCTGGGGCGATGGCTTGGTTGTTCGGTGCGGCTTCGTTGGCAAGGCGTCTGTTATTCTGAATGGGTACGAACGGCGCCTCCAAAGCAGGGTCCTCGACTACATGATCATCATCCTCTTGCGGACGATCTTGACCTTGGTCAGGAGTTTCAAGATCAGCCCAGAACCAGTCGAAGAGTCTGGCAACCAAGTTCTTCGGAGAAGCCGCCGCTGCTTGATCATTCTGCGGCGTTGCCACGGCATTTTCAGAGGCCCTTTCAGCATTCGTTGTAACCGCGTTGGTCGAAGCCGAAGCGCTCGGAACTTGATCAGACTGAATGCCAGTGTCGGCGGAAGGTGTCGAATCGGACGGTACCTCAGAGTCGCCTACAGCACGGAGGCTAGAGCCGAGATCATCATTAGTAAATTCGCGGTCTTGCCGATCATCACTCGCGCCAGTCCCCAGTGGATTGGACACGGAAGCGATGTCCCAGGGATGACGGTTGACCGCTGATGACGAGGGCTCCAACAGTGGTGATCGTGCTGAACTGGATTCACTTTGCATCTCCGTCTGATCGGGAAAAGAATCCGAACTCGCAGCCTCGTGAAGAGGTGACTCGCGCCTCCAAGAACCGCGCAGAGAATCGTTCCGTTGAAGCTTGGTCATTGCCGTGACGATCCACCCCAGCTCATCCTGGCGCCCCTCCTCTCTTACGAGTCTGAGGACCTGCTCAGGATCACCATGGCCACGCGCCCAGAGATCCCTGAACGTGTCCACCCCAGGCCAGACCTGGTTGCCGTGAGAGGTCGAGTGCTCGAGGGACAAGGGGTTCAGTTCATCCTCACTGTCACTATTACGCCGGAACATATGCTGCGAAGTACTAGGTCCCTGGGTACCCGAGTCACTGGAACTGCTTGAGTTACCATCGCGGAACGAAGAATGCACACGATACGACTCGGTCTCAGCCAGAGAGCCAAGTCCCCCTTCGTCTGCGCGGTTAGAAATATCTTCGACGTGTTCATGAGTGCTTTCATCGCGGGGTACATCCTCTGGCTGAGGGGCATGTAGTTCAGGCTGTACCTCTTCAGGGCGCTGTACTGGACGGTTATTCGCAATTAGCTGGACAGCAGCTTCCCGCTCACCCTCGGCGATATTGGCCATGGGCTGCTGTTGAACAACCCATTCGCGAATCAGGAAAACCAGAATGAACGAGATGACAACCAATAATGTTATGAGTTGACCTTCTAAGGTATCAATAAGAATGTTATTAATCGTGGGCGATGGTGTCAGTGTGTTGAGAAATTCCACATCTGAGAGCCACGATGGGCGCCGAGGCTTGTATGATCCAGCTGTCACATTCGAAGGGCTGGTGCTCAACGAACCGGTGCCCGACATTGCAGGGAAGAACAAGGCAGAAAAAGCCTTCTTGATGACTGTGAGAAGTAGAGGCTCGCCTGATGAGAAACTGAACATAGATGAAACCGGTGACTGCACGGCTGGCACATCTGATGCTCCCGCTAATGCGGTGGTAGCGGCTCCCACATTCATGGAAGCCGTTCCATTTGCTACAAGTTGGGCTAGATGTTCGGATGAAGATTGCTGGGGAGCATCCGCCCCAGACCAGCGGCCATCAGCCAGCCAGAAAAGAGCTCTCCAAATCGCCCTCATCGACCATGGCAGCCACCCAAGCCAGACGAACGCAACAAGTACGAACCGCAGCCATGTGACAATAGTGCGAAAACTATGGATTAGTAGCTGTCGGAGGAAAAGCGGAGCAGGGAGATTCTGGGGCATATTCGGATCGTATAACTTCGTGAAGCGGAACGGCGTTTTGCAGAGTTCGCAATGCTTCTTCTGAGAGTGGGACAGCCATTCTACCAGGCATGCCTGGTGAACGAACTTGATGCTCCCGCTACATTTGCACGGGTAGAAAAGTTGTTCTTCCTCGGTACCCTCACCACGGCATATGCGACAAGTGTCTGGCTCTTCAAACTCCCTCTCCTTCCCCTTATAGTTCGTCTGATAGGCCGGGTCATTCATCAGGTCGGGGAACGAGGTAGAATGGGTATAATCCCGGGACGAGCCCTCGGGAAACTCCATTTTGCGCAATCAACGTCGACTCGACGAGCTTATCGTCTTCAGCAGCGGCAATCAGATATCATGTTCGGAAAGGCGTGTAGCAACGCGAACAGGTACGTGTGAACCGAGAAGGCGAGATGACGAAACGGAGACACTGCGCCAGGGGATTCTCTCGCGATTTGGTACAATCCTCCTTCAACAAGAGTTTCAAATAGTTGCTGCTAGGAGAAAATACACGTCAGTGTTCAACCATAGGCGGGTTTCCGTAGGAGGCGTATGTGGCAAGACGCAAAGCAGTCGGTGGAAAGGCAAAAGACCAACAAAAGCTGTGGTTCACCTGAACTGGTCGATCCCCCCAACATATGCTGAATCAGCACAAGACCCTCCATGTCTCGGTCATGTGACATTACGGTACAGTACCACCAAGGGCGGTGAGGGGCCGCCCAATTGCCTGCATAAATGCAGATCTACACGTCAGATTCTGTAAGACTGTATTGTGAAGTGCCACCGAAGGACCGATGACCTCACAGCTCCTTACAATAAAGGCTAATTACTATGGCTATTGTTGTTGTTCCCTGAATCCAGCAAGCGTGTTGTTGACAACTGGAGATCTACTCTGTGATCGACAGAGCACCCACTCCAAATCTCGTCATTCAAGCCTTGCTTTCCCTCCGTTCTAGATATATACCGTGACACTGTCTGTTCCTTTCCCGTCAAGACACAGACAGACTGGTGTTACAGACTACCCCTCTAAAACTCGACGGCGCCAAGGCGGAGACGGGAATTGATCGTCGCGTGCGCTTCGAGGATCCTAGCTTGTGATTCCGGAGAAACGTTGCTAAGACCCTTTCATCCCCCCCCCCCCCCCCCTCCAAGTCGACTGGGCCCTTTAGTTTGTCCGAATTTCCGGAAGGCTCAGGAGATAATCTAGGCCTCACCATCTTTGACTCAGTCAGTCATCTTCTATCTTCATTGAATTGGACACGCGACGCGAGTATCCAGTTTTCTGCCCGCCGGACTCGAAGCGAGCGGCACCCCCGTTGACGACGGGGACGACTCATGATGACCGTTCCGGATAATAGCCACGCCCCGGATGGGGCCGATCGGATAATAAAATCCAGGAGCAGTGCTTCCAAGCCAAGCAAACGAGGAACTATCCGGTGGACAGTTGGGCTGGTGGTGCGGTAAGTCTTGCTTAAAAAGCTAGACCGGGATCTTCGGTCCACCGCGTTATGGAGTTGAACCGTTGCTAATCTGGCGATCAAACTGATAGGCTCTGTATCTGGTATGCTCTTCTTACGCCATTCCTGCGCTGCCCTTCTCAGCTCTCCGACCTTACGGATTCCTCGCCGCGAGTATGCAAACCATACCTTGTTGCTCGCTCCTATGTCGAGCCCCATGTGATGCCGTACTATAACGCTTATGGCGCGCCATATGTCGAGACAGCGCGCCCATACGTGCAGGTTCTCAATGAGAAAGTCTACGCGCCCACTTCGCGCGTCGTCAAGCACGGATATGAGAGATTTGGGGCACCCGCTTTGGATAAAGCCCAGCTTTATGGCCAGCAGCAGTGGGAGACGATTGTCATCCCACAGTTGCAGTCCGCTAAGGACAGAGCAAATGGCTTGTACCAATCTCAACTATACCCCCATGTTCAAACAGTCGAGGCGGCCTTGTCGCCATCCTTCCAAAAGGCCAACGGCGCGATCAAGTCTGCATATGGAGACTACCTTCTCCCATTCGGCGCAAAGTATAGGCCTTTCATCGGTAAGACCTATACAACGGGCCAGGAAATTCTCACAACAACCGTACTCCCTTATGCGCAAAACTCATGGTCGGCGGCTATCTACTTCATTCATAGTACATTATGGCCCAGAGTCACCGGAGTGTACTCTCAGAATGTCGAGCCTCAGCTAGTTAAGATCGGCGAAAGACTGGCAAGTTATCGTGAGGAGAAGAGGCTGCGCCAGGTTGCAGAGGAAGTGGAAAGGTAGGCTTTTATCGCTGCGATATACGTGCTTCATGTGTTAACCTATCATTCACAGTGCATCTCAACAAGCATCATTTCTCACTGCACCAAAGGCTACTGAGGTAAACGACTTGACGACGTCGTCCACAACTGAGCAAGCTACCGCAACGCCTACGCTGTCGCCTACTGAACAAGCTGCGAAAGCACGCAATAGCATCGAGACTGACCTGCGCACCTGGCAACAAAAGTTTGCTGTTGCCGCAGAGAAGGGACTCGAGGATCTTGAAGAGCGCTTGCAGGAGATAGTCGACGGGTTCATTGGAAGTGGCGTTCGCGCACATGGAGAAAGCTTGGCGACCGCATTGGAGGCCGTTGTTGACAACGAGCTTATAGCTCTTAAGCGTCATATCAACAACCTCGCCGAGTCCTTGCCCAAAGAAGACGTGCCACAAGAGGAGCAGGCAGCGACAAACGAGCTTTTTGGAAACATCAAGGAAGCCGCAGTGTCTATCCGGGACCGTGCTCATGCCCTTCGAGAATGGCGCCATTCCTTCGACCAAGAGCTTACAAGGCGCGTTTCTTTCGCAATCAACTCTACACTCGATGTCCTGGATAGCGTCCGTGATCTCGGACTTCAAGAGGTCGGCATGCGTTGGGCCTGGATGGATGGTGTTACCTACAAGGATTGGGCTAGGTACCATGCATTGAAGGCGCAGTTCGAGGAATGGAAGGATGAGTTCTTGGAATTTGGCCTTCAGCATGCGAAGCTTGAGGAAGCGCGAGCAGTAGCGGACGAGATCTTGTCGCACGGAATGGAAGTTGCTGAGGCCGCCGCCAAGGAGCTGACCCGGCTGAGGGACGTTGGCAAGTGGAAGATCGCTGCCAGGGAAGCAAGCGATGACTTTGACACCAGATCTGAGCCTCCGCCTTCGTTGCCTAAGCCTAGCCGCGCCCCCGAGCCTGTTGTGGATGAAGAAGGACTGGCAGATGAGTCAGCCGATGCTGAGCGTCCGGATGGGACTGTCTTTGCTTATGATGCTGCCTCTCGGGCCGTGAATGACGGATCTGACGGCGACGAGGAGAGTATGGCAGATGATGAGGAGCATTCTTCGCCCCAGGCTAACGGTGGATTGCCTTCGGAGTACGCCTCGACTAGCCCTTTGGGTGATAACCAGGAGGCCGATTACCTGAAGGCGGCATGGGGAGTAGCTGCGGCTGATGTGAGAACACCGTCGGAAGACGAAACACCACAGGCTTCTGGTCCCCAATTGTCGGCTGAGCAGCAACAGGCTGTTGCGGCTCTCATCTCGGGTCTACTTGTGGACAAGGACTCTGCCTACGCTGAAGAGATCATGAACAAGCTGCACTCGATTTACGGGACTCCAGCGCCAACACCAGAGCCTTCTGTAGCATTTGACGACGCTTCTGATGAGGTTAGTGATTTCGATGCAGAGGCTGCGAATGCCCCCTTCCCGGAATCCGAAGAGCCTATCGACGAAACCGATGAAGCCTCGAATTCATCATCCGAAGCAGACTTCGAGTCTAGTGCTATCGTCGACGACGAGGATAACAACGAAGAGGTGCAAGATACCCCCGAGTCACTCTCCGAGGATATCAAGATAGAGGGGGTCGAAGAGGACTCGCCCATGGATGACGTCGAATCGTCCTCCGCAACTCTGGCTTCCACTGCCAGCAGTGTTGTATCCGAGGCTGAGGAAACTTTCATCCCTGAAACAACCCCAGCCAGCGAAGACAACTCTGCAGAGGAGTTGTAACCTGAGACAAGACAGACAAACAAACAGGGTTGGCTGTTACTTGGCAATTCTTTCATGATTTGATATCCCAAAACATTCTTGTTATTCGCTTGATTTACCATCTCAGGTCGGCCATGATATTCCCCACATAGTTCCCCCACGATTTGTACGTCATGATATAGCATTTTCTATTCTGCCCCTATACCACCAGAACCTCCTCCTCCTACCTTTGCTGTGTACTATGTGCTGTTTTTATTTGTTTCAATTCTTGTAACGGCCACTCGTGCTTCAACATTTTCGTGCCCTTCTGGCACCCAAACTTTTGCTTTTTGGGAAGCGCTCATCTCGCATCCAATCTATCTTCACATACACTAAAATACAATTTGCTTAACCACAAACAATGGTGAAACCCAACCGCGCAATGCGTAGTCATAGGTAGTAATATATATGCATAAACCATCCCCCAAGGAGCCACTCCACTTACAATTCCAAAACAACAACCCACCCCTCCAAAGACCACCTCACCGATACTGCACCCCCCTAGCACCCCTCTTCTCCATCTTCTTCTGCCTCTTACTCTCCGCCGCACCTCCACCCTGCTCCTGCCCAGCACCCGCACCTCCCATACCCGCCAACCCACTCTTCATCCCCATAAAGGTACTATACGCCAACCAGACCGAATACACCGGCACGACAATCCACAACCACCACGCACGATCCCCAAACAAGCAGGCAGCTCCAAGACATCCCCACGTCCAGTACAGCACGTCCCACATGTACTCCGTCAGTCCTGCGGCGCCGAGATCCTCGCCGGGAGAGCGGAGGGATCCATCAGCGGGGTTGTAGACCGGGCGGCCGAGGCGTTCGAGGTAGAATTCGATGAGAAGGGTCGGGCAGGCGAGTGTGAAGTAGGGGGTTAGGGAGCGGGGGTGGTTGAAGAGCCAGTGGAGAGTTAGGAAGAGGATGTGCAGGGCGGCACTGATGAGGTGGGTGCGGGTGAGGAGGGACGCGTTGCGCGCGGCGAGGGTTTTGGCGGCTTTCTGTTGGGAGGTAGGTTGGTTATTTGAGTGGAGGGATATAGATTATGGGGGAAATGGGGTATACTGACTTGAGCCATGGTTGTAAGTAGTGGTGGTAGTGTGTGGTGTGAAGTTGAGATTAATCCGGTATGATCGGATGACGATGATGCAGGTCGCGTGCGGATGCAAGTCAGGGTACTGGGTGTAGTGGGGGTTTGGTGGAAATGACAGGGAGCGATGATCCGCTCAGTGAATAAATTAACTAGCGATAAGCAAGTTGCATGATCGGGGAGGGATAAGGAGTCTAGATAATCGATTGATGCATTTGATTGATAGTGGGAGTGAAGATGAAAGTAAGTAACACCTGTAGTAAGTACTAACTACTAAGTAGTAGTACCAGTAGTAGAAGATGGCGAATAGGGAATGGCGTTGCCCACCACAACCAACTGTAAGTTACTAACAGCCAAGCCGCCCTCCGCCTCTCACCAGCCACTCTCTCCGCCAGATTCGCTGTGCCAAAACATCGCCAGAAAAGGCGTCGTGAACTACGACTTCTGTCGGACTTTGCCGCTTCGCCCCTGGGCCTGCTTTGGGCTTCTTCCGCGTGTATCTTGTCTGCCGCTTTCGCTGTCTGCTCGTCGCGACATGCGATTTGACCCCCTTTGACACCTTCTTAGGGTCCTACACGGCGTCACGAGTCGTCCGGACGTCATCCACTTTCCCTTTCTCCTCTGCCACAGCTTCGCACTTCAACCCACCCCCTCTCGACTAGTCTGATCTGTGGCGGAGATCTAGACAAGAACCGTTGCGATCCATCGGGCGCAAACTAGCCAGGCGATATAATTTACTGGTTATTGTTTTGACGGGTGTTGACGGTCTAACAATCTTTTTTTCCCTCTGTTCCCTATCTATACAGTTGAAAGAAACACCACGTCGTCGTTGCCTTAAATCCGGTTCACGCGGCGCTCCCCTCACATCTCTTAGTGTTCTTCAATCTCTTTGGACTGTTTCTCAACTCCACCCATGCTGGTTCGGTGTTAACAGATTGACGGCCTCACCTGTCGCTCACCCTGTTCCTTGATTCCGCAAAGCTCCCTTCGCGCCGTTCCCAATACGAACGTCAATACCGCCTCCTCTCCTGCAGCGCCTCTGTGATATCGCCCCCCCCTCCTTCTCTCCCTCCTCCTTGAATGAATCCCACACCTCAACATGTCTCCTTCCACCGCTCATATATCGAGCCAACTTAGGCAATTAATATATTACCATCTTGATAACAACCTCGTCCGTAATGCGCTTTTCCTTGCCGGTCGGTTGCACGCCTACGAACCCCGAGCAGCAGAATCGTCATATTTACTCGCCTTGTGCCATCTCCAGAGCGGTCAAGTGAAAGCAGCATACGATTACAGCAAGAACTTTGGATGGCGAGGCACTCATCTGGGCTGCGCGTATGTGTTCGCCCAGGCGTGCTTGGACCTGGGAAAATATCCTGAAGGCATCACGGCGTTGGAACGAAGCAAAGGACTCTGGTCCACAAAGAATAATTGGGGTACGCTCTGTTCAGCATTTCTTTATAGTATCCGGCTTGTCGCAAATGGGCGCGACTATCATTCTAGGCTGATCACAGCTGACATTTCTTTTCGCCGTTCCAGGAAAACACAGCGAAACGCGCAGGCAACATTTACCCGATGCGGCCGCGGTGCTATGTCTACAGGGCAAGCTTTTCTATGCGCACAATGAACTCAATGCGGCTGTTGAATGCTATGTCGACGCGCTCAAGTTGAACCCGTTCATGTGGGACGCTTTCTTGGGCTTGTGTGAGACTGGTGAGTATCGCGGGCGGATAGGGAGAATGCTGTCGCTAATTGTTCAAAGGGGTCAACATCCGCGTTCCCAATATCTTCAAGATGACACCTGAACTCAGCGCTTTATTAGCATCCTCCTCACAAGATGACTTGGACGTGTCTTCGGATAAGGCAGCACATCCCGCAGGTCCCTTGCAGTCGCAACCGAAACTGAACTCGAGCACCGATCCCTTTACTTCTTTGACGTCTCGGACTGAGGCAGTCGGCACGCATGGGAGCTCCGCTCTCTGGGAGAAGCTAAATGGCAGCACAGTCAGCGTGGCATCCACGGGTACATCAGCAATTCCGGCAATTCGAGAAGGGACCGAAACACCTGGAGGCCAAAGCAGTGAGTCGGACGACCGTGTCATGCACCGAACGGACGCACCTTTGGAGCCGCCCTTGGCACCTGCACGGAAGAACCGAACAATACAAACGATTAGTGCCGATCACGGCATGGACTCCCCACCAAAGATGAAGCCCACGGGTATACGACCCCGGACCAGGACTAAGCCCGAGCCCGATGAGTCGACTACAACCTATACGGAGCGAGAGCTCTCACACGGAGTCCGTGTCGGCGACCGCAAGCGAACTGTCTCTGGATCAGTTGCTCATTCCGCGCAGCAACCCACCGAACCTGGCGCGCCGCAACGGCGGAGCGTCCGCCTTTTCAACCAGATTAAGCCTACTACGAGCAAGCTTTCTAGTACGGCGCTGGGGACAAAGGATGGTCGAGAAATGAAGAAGGTCAGGGCTACTGGTGCGAAGGGTCGCACTACAACCGCTCCTAGTGTGGGCCGGGTCGTGAGTGGCAATCGAAAACACATCGGTGACACGCATGATGGCGAGGCCAAGGACCACCGGCCAGCCACCTCGGCATCGAATGGGACGCACCACACTTCATCGAGAGGACCTTCGCTTGATCGGTCTAAAGCTGTGGAGGCATTGACATGGTTATTAGAGCTGTTCTCGAAGTTGGCGTCCGGATACTTTGCGTTGTGTCGCTATCGTTGCGCTGAAGCTACCCAGATATTCGCGGCTCTGTCTCAAGGCCAACGGGAGACTCCATGGGTACTCTCCCAAATAGGTCGAGCATACTACGAGCAGGCGATGTATTCCGAAGCCGAGAAATATTTTGTCCGGGTAAAGAGTATGGCTCCGTCCCGGTTGGAGGATATGGAAATCTACTCAACGGTGCTCTGGCATCTGAAGAATGATGTCGAGCTGGCTTATCTGGCGCACGAGCTCATGGAAACAGACCGTCTCTCCCCTCAGGCCTGGTGCGCCGTTGGCAACTCATTCTCCCACCAGCGGGATCATGACCAAGCTCTGAAGTGCTTCAAGCGAGCCACGCAACTTGATCCTCATTTCGCGTACGGGTTCACTCTGCAAGGACATGAATATGTGGCCAACGAAGAATACGACAAGGCTCTCGATGCGTATAGACACGGCATCAGCGCTGACAGTCGTCATTATAACGCCTGGTATGGATTGGGTACGGTATACGACAAGATGGGCAAGCTCGAGTTTGCCGAACAACATTTCCGCAATGCGGCCAACATCAATCCTACGAACGCGGTGCTCATCTGCTGCATCGGACTGGTATTGGAGAAGATGAACAACCCTCGCGGGGCTCTCGCCCAGTATGGACGGGCCTGTCAATTGGCGCCTCATTCGGTTCTTGCTCGCTTCCGCAAGGCTCGCGTGCTGATGAAGCTCTCGGAGCTCAAGTTGGCGCTGACGGAATTGAAGGTGCTAAAGGATATGGCACCGGATGAGGCCAACGTGCATTATCTGCTGGGTAAACTCTACAAGATGTTGCATGAGAAGGCGAATGCTATCAAGCATTTCACAACTGCTCTGAATTTGGATCCCAAGGTAAGTCTGGAACCCTCACTATCCCCCGCCAAACTCAAATGCACCAGCTAACAGCTTCAGGCGGCGCAATACATCAAGGATGCCATGGAATCCCTGGATGATGATGAAGAGGATGACGAAGATATGGCATGATTTTCTTTCTCCCTTGTTCTTAGTATTCTTCCTGCTTCCCCAGTGTACTTCTTTGACGGGTTCCTGTTGTACATGAACCCATCTGTACCATGGAATCCCTATTGGCGAGGAGCGGCGTTTGTCTTTTCTCTTTCTCTCTTTCTGGGTTGAATTTGCACCAGCATCAGCATTACGAGGGCGTTCGCCGGTGGGTTGGTTAGAACTGGCATTGCGAGCATCCAGACCTCGCGAGGGTCGAGGCATCTGGATTGGATTCTGTATGTTAGCGTGGGAGGCTGGGAAGGACGAGGCCGGACGACGGAGCTGAACATATCTTCTTGGAAGACTGTTGCCCGAGCGGCTGCATAATCGAGCTATTATCAGCACATTGATACCCACTTGTCTTCATACTTGTAGAGCAATGATAATAAATTCAGGTGACTGGCTGTTGAGTACTATACCGGGGATATTGGGCGGAGAAACAGGCGGTGAGGCGGCAGAAACCGGCGGAAATCCATCCAAATCCGTTGAGACCGAAAGACGAGAGTTTGGGATTCATTGGATGCCGCGAAGATCTCCCTCTCTGTTCCCCTAAATTCAAGGTTTCTCTCAATCTTCTTCTCACTCTCCTTCTCTTCCTCCCCGACGTCCCTCTTCCTAGTTCTCCTCCGCTTCCTCCTCCCCTTCTTCCCGCCACCCCTACTACCGGGTCATGCACCGTCTTTGCGGCCCTCTCGCCTGACCTCGTCATCCCCAAAGTCCGCATACCCCAGAGAACCCCAGGTTCGCTTTACCCCGAGTTCACCCTTAGGCTTCTGGCTATAAAGCCCCCGTCTAACCCGTTCCTGATGCAGATCAGTCGGTTCTCTTACCCCCACCTGAAAACCTCCTCCCCACCACGACCACCATGTCCCTCTTCTCCTACGTCGCCTCGGGCATCAGCTCCTTCGTCGTCTTCACGCTCTCTCTCTTCGCCCTCGGCCAAAAAGTTCCCCGCGCTGCCTTCGTCGCCCGGTGTCTCGCCGCCTATGGCTCCCTCCTCCTCTGCGCCACCTACGGCGTCGTCGCCTCAATTGTGCTCCGTATCGCCGGCTACGGCCGCATCTCGCAATATGCCACCGCGCGCAGTTTCAAGTGGGTCATGCGCTACACCACCGGCGTGACTTTCAACATCATTGAAGGCGCTGAACACCTGAACACCCGACCCGCCGTGTTCATCGCAAACCACCAGTCCGAACTGGACGTGCTCATGCTCGGCTACATCTTCCCTCCGTACTGCAGTGTCACGGCCAAGAAGTCTCTCAAATATATTCCCTTCCTCGGCTGGTTCATGTCCCTCTCTCGCACCGTCTTCATTGATCGTGCCAACCGCGAAACGGCCGTCAAGGCCTTTGATAGTGCTGCCGATGAGATGCGCAATCATCGCCAGAGTGTCTTCATCTTCGCCGAGGGCACGCGCAGCTACTCTGATACCCCGGAACTGTTGCCTTTCAAGAAGGGCGCGTTCCATCTTGCGCTGAAGGCGGGTGTACCGATTGTGCCCGTGGTTACGGAGAATTACTCCCATGTGCTGTCCCCCCGCAAGATGAGGTTCGAGCCGGGCACGATCAAGATCAAGGGTACGTTTCACCCTCTTCGCCTTCTGGCTGGATTTATGAAGTCCTAATGAATTTAGTCCTCCCCCCAATCAGCACGGAAGGTCTCACGGCCGCCGATATCGACGCTCTGACCAAGTCCACGCGCGAGTCCATGCTCAAGACCCTACTCGAGTTGGCCGACAAGGACAAGCAGGAGGTGGAGTCGACGGTTGCCGCGAACGGCAAGTCCACTGCTGTGGAGCTGTAGGGAGAACAAAGAGATCAACTTTTTCAGGCTGACTATTGTTATTCCCGTCATCTACGATTACACGACACGAGTAATGCTTGAATTGGCGAGACAGGAGAGAGTGTGTGGGTGGATACCCCGACTGGTTAAGGTAGCAACAACAACTGCTGACGGGGCGAGATAACAGACTGGAGGAACATAAATCCAGTAGAAAGAAAGACGCAGCGGGGGGTAAAGCAAAGACCTTGTCTTGGAGTTTGTCTGGCCATCCATTGCATGACGCGGCCCATGGGTTTCTTTCCTAGAGTGTATATAGAGCATATTCCTAATGCTTTTTTAGACCGTCACTCCACCAAAAAACCAACCTACGTAAACCACAACACCCACATATCGTAGATAAGATACCATCACCCCAAACAAGCACACCTCCCCTCCGCACACTCCCAAACATCCCCCTCAACATCCAACCTCCTCAACCCCTCCCATACATCGTCCTCTCCCCCCTCCCCCTTCCCAACCCTACCCCCCCTAGCAGCCGTCGCAACCAAATACCCCCCCTCAAACGCCTGCACCTCAACCCTCACCTCCTTGACCTCCCTCCCCTTCATCAACACCCTAACCCCGCGATAAACCTCCCCATCCGTATCGGGAACCCTCACATCCAAAAACTCCAACTCCCTCAACCACTCCGCCAACAACGCCTCCCCCGTCATCTTAATATACGCCTCCTTCAGCGCCCAATACGCAAAGAAAACCCGATAACTATACACCACCCCTTCCGTCGACGAAACCGAGTACCCGTGAACAGGATGCGTCAGGGACTTTATCAACGACAGTTCCCTCGCGGAGAATATCTCCGTGAAGATCGATACGTACTCCAGGAATGCGGAGCGGGTGGGTGGGGATGGGTTCCGTGGGGAGCGTAGGTGTTCTGTTGTGCTGGTGATGTCGATTCCGACTTGGATTTCTTGTTGCTGCTTGGCTGGTGTGGGGTTGGATGGGATGGTGGTTCCGGCTAAGGCGACCATTGAGTCTTGGTGGCTGACGTTGAATTCGACTTTTGGGATTGAAGTGGTGACTGCTGCAGATGGGATGAAGCAGGGTCGGTGGTGCGGAGCTGGGGTCCGGCTGATGGTGATTTGGGACCAGGGGATGCGGCAGGTGCGGTGGATGAAGAGGTATTTGAGCAGGTTGGAGGCGAGGGACATGTGGCGGTCCTTGAGGTGGTAGTATTTCTGGATGGCTTGTTGTTCGGTGGGTTGGAGGGTCTCGAGGAGGGGGAGGGCCGGAGAGGTGGTTGTTAGGGGTCGGGTGTCGATGTACCACCGGACGAGGGTGGGTTTGGGGTCGGATGAGGTGGCCATTTTGGGTGAATTGGTGTGGTGGTGTTCAATTGAGTGAGATGTGAGATGTGAGATGTGGTGTATCAAGCTGATGTGAGGAGGGATCGGGTGTCTATGCGGAGGTGAGATGAGGGGTAGGATTGGTTTTCCACGAGGGTCATTGATGCATTCCGAGATTCAGGTACACCAATTATAAACCTCAGCGCCCTACACAATGGTCCACAAACAGTTCATTGTCACAGCAAAGTAATGAAGGCAATAAATCTAGAATGTCAACATCTCCAATGTCAGGCTGAACGCGGGGCAGCACGTGGTGATAAGCGGTCCGACATTGATCCGCTGACATAAGGCGGCGTTGCTCCCATCAAATAAAGTATAGAGAGTTTGGAGTCATAGTTCGATTGTTGCCGCCACTGACTCACATTCTATACTTCGCCATGGGCTGCATCACCGTCGGCGTGCTCGCCTTGCAAGGCGCCTTCTACGAACATATCCAGTTGCTGAAGAGTGCGGCCGCCGATTTGCCCGCCAAAGACCGCAGTTCCGCCTCGCAATGGGACTTTATCGAAGTGCGCACCCCGCAGGAACTCGAGCGATGCGATGCGCTGGTGCTACCCGGAGGCGAAAGCACAACCATGGCTCTTGTTGCCGCTAGGTCTAACCTCTTGGAGCCTTTAAGGGACTTTGTCAAGTATGTCTGATCGATTTTCCGCATCATTGCTTTATGGTTCATACTAATTGGCATTTCAGGGTCCACCGGAGGCCTACTTGGGGTACCTGCGCCGGTCTGATCCTCCTCGCTGAGTCGGCCAACCGCACAAAGAAAGGTGGTCAGGATCTGATCGGTGGGTTGGACGTGCGTGTCAACCGCAACCATTTCGGCCGACAGACGGAGAGTTTCCAGGCCCCTCTCGACTTGCCCTTCCTGGGCGCTAATCAGCCCGCCTTCCCCGCCGTCTTTATCCGCGCCCCGGTCGTGGAGAAAATCCTCCCTCACCAAGAGGGCGAACAAGTGGCCGAGGCCCAGCGCGAAGAAACCGTCATTGCGCCGGCGCGCCAGGCGGAAGACGAGGTCGCTCGTCAGGCCATGGCAGATAGTGTGGAGGTTTTGGCAGCTCTGCCCGGACGGGCTGCCAGATTGGCCTGCCAGGGGACGCCCATTAACGCCGATGACGAGACGGGAGACATTATCGCCGTCCGCCAAGGGAACGTCTTTGGGACAAGCTTCCACCCGGAGCTGACTGACGATGCCCGCATCCACGCGTGGTGGTTGCGCCAGGTCGAGGAATCAGTGAAGAAAAGACATGCCGCGCATCACACATGAAGGGCAATATCATGGCTGATGATGCATAGCGTTGGGTATCGGATGTAAATTTCTTCTTTTTTGAATGCCTTTCTAGCAATGATAGAAATAGAGTGTACATATGAAAACGCCGTTCTTGCGCCAACCTGAATATGTCTGTCTTCCCCTTTTACTTACCCTTGCCGTACTCCTCTTCCTCCCGTCGTCGCTGGTCATCCGCATAGGCACGTCCATAGCCACCACGGCCAGGGTCGTATTCCTCGCGGTATTCGTCGCGGACCTGACCACCCGATTTACCACGTCTACGAACGTCAGTAACCTGCACCTTTGAGAATCCCGATCATATACATACCCGTATTGCCGACCCTCCTCGAACCCAGGATCCAAATCCGTCCGAATGATTCTCTCATCCAGCTTTGTGCCACCAATGTATTTCAAACAATCCAGCGCATCCTGGTGGGTGTAGTACTCGACGAAGCAAAATCCGCAGGGGGTCTTGTTGTACCGATCCAGACCCATAACTAGACGCTTAATCTCGCCGCACCTGTACTCGGTCAGCTCATTACTCGTAGATAGCGCATTCGGTGGTTTCCGCGCACTTGGCAAATAGCTCATGGATCTGTTCTTCGGTGGTGTAGAAAGAACTGTGTTGTTAGCATGGACTTGACAAAGGCGATCATTCATAACATACAGATTACCGACGTAGAGAGTGGTGGCATCCTTGAGGTTGTCGACGGGATCTTCAGGCTTTTCGATCTCATCGTGGCTGAACTTGCGACGCTTGTTCTGGAGAGAGTTCACCAATTAATATTGTAATGGTTCGGTAGCCTTGGAGACGAAGCTCACCTTGCCCAGGTAGTAGGCACTCGGCCGGTCGAGGCGTTCGACGGTGTTGTGAACGAGGGTGCTCATGATGCTTGGCGTTAGGCAAGCAAGAATTGAGAGAAGGAAATAACAATGAACGCCGGGAAGCTATGTGAGCGGAGTTCACTAAACAACGAGAGGAAGTGAGTCTGCAAAGAAGATCCCGAACAGGTCGGGAAGCTGAAGCAACAACCAACGGGAGTCTTGCTTCTTGGCGCGCCGCCCTTCTTCAATCCAGCTTCAGCTTCCGCCCAAAATTTCCCCGACGGGAGCTGTTTATTGCCTTTCCTCTCCGTCGTGCTTTCGGCTTCTTCCCTGCCCTCTTGCATTTGGCTTCAAGCGCAGGATGAGATTGTAAGGCTTGTCAATCTCAACTTGTCTGCCATAAAGAATCCCCCTCGACCATGCCGAAAGTCATCAGTTACACTCCGCCGTGGCTCTCGCGCCCGGCGCCGGGTGCCTCCATCTTTGCCAGCTCCGGCTCCAAATCACCAGAACATACACCCGGAACGAAGGACGTCGTCTATTCGGGACCTACGCGCATTCAAGCGAAGCGGGGGAATGAACTATTTACCGTCGTCGATAACCAGATTCGCTGGTCCAGCCTGACCAGACTGAAGGATGAATGGCAGCACAACTCCAGGTCGAATGACAAGCAGCAGTCTGAGGATCGCACTGTGCAGTACAGGGTAGGACAAGGATTAACAGTGATTTATTGCTGGTCTGAAGCTAACCTGATGCCGTATAGGTCCTGAATGTTCCTGTCTTCGAGAAAATCCGTCAACTAATCCCCTCCCCAAATGGCGCATTCCTAGCCATTGTTGCCGATCGCACCGTCTTCATCGCCGTGCTGCCTGATCCTTCCCATCTGTCTGGAACAGACAGCTCTCCCATCCGCGTGAAATCTTACCAGCTTGGCCCGACCACCCACGTCATTCCTGAATCGCCTGTGGTGTCGGCGCTATGGCATCCATTGGGTGTCCACACCAACCTCGGGGGCTGTTTTGTGACTATCACGGCTGATGCTGCAGTCCGAGTGTGGGAATTGGATCGGAACAACCACTGGTCATTTGACCGTCCGACCCTGGCTGTCGACCTGAGGAAGCTGGTGGACGGAACTTCATCGGACCAGGACTTTGCGCCGTCGGGATTCGGGAAGAACAAGGGATTCTCGGCTGACTTTATCGACATGGAAGTTGCGTCTGCTTGCTTTGGTGGCAGCGGAAATGAACGCGAGGACGCATGGGCACCCATGACTCTGTGGGTTGCAATGAGACCGGGCGATCTATACGCTCTGTGTCCGTTGTTGCCCTCCAAGTGGCGCGCGCCGTCAACTGCCATCCCTTCGTTGACTGCGGCTATTGTTCCGAAGCTGGCTTCTTTGGAGGAGGATCCTGCCGAGTACGAGGATGACCTGACTGCCTGCCGGCAGCAGTACGACTGGCTGGCCGAAATTGATAACCAGGATCCTTTACATACGGAGTTTGATTCGGAGACGGGCTCTGGGTCTGACGTCCTCACGCGCCCAGCCAATCCCAGTGCGATCCCCAGATTACAGGGCCCGTTCCGGTTCGACACGGGCGATGAGATCGATGACCTGGACCTCTGCGATATCCTGGTCATCGGTGCCAAGGTCGATCTCGATGCACTCATGATGGGTGAGGAGGTGCGCGCTCTGGAAGAGAGCGGAGATGACCGTCTGTCTGCCACGGTCATCTGCCTTTCGACTGGAAGCGGTAGGATTCATGTCTGCCTCGAGCTCGATGGCGTTGAAGGACAGTGGCTCCCCAAGGCGAAGAAGAACGTCTTCAGCACTCCTGTCTCCGAACCATCCGATCTCCTGCTCGTGGAATCCTTGGACACGATTAGAGGGGAGCGTGACTCGTCCAACAACTGGCCTACTTTCACAAAGGATGCCTACTCGCGGTACAGCTTCTTCGTTACGAACACCAACAACGTCACCTATATCTCTCTCACTTCCTGGGTTCAGCGACTCGAGGCTGAGCTGCAGTCAGAGGACACCGCCGGCAGCTCTTTCCGCCTGCAGATCCTTTGCGAAGGCACTGCGTCTTTGAGAGAGCGGATTCTTGAAGTTGATGGAAATGCCGCAGGCGCCAAAGACTTGACGGGCCACCTACCAGCCGCATTGGTGTACTACGATTACGACCTGGGCTACTTGCTACTCACATCCCACTCCTCCACTCCTCACGCTGCCATCTTGGATGCACCAGAGGTTCTTCCCTCCATTGCCGATCTCCACATCTTCGACCCGGAGGAACAAGTCCCGGGCTCGCCCATCTTGCCCCCTCGTCGGCCTCCATACCAAGTCCCGGCCATCTTCTACGCAGAGCCCCCTCTGGAGTTCTTCATCGACAAACACGTCCCGCACCGTCAACGCCAGGCCTTGAAGGAGCAAGTTCGGCTGTCCCCTGCTACGCTGGACCTGGTAGCAGCTGCGCACCGCATCCTGTCCGCCCACACCAACGCCCTCGAGCGCGCCGCCTCTGACCTCTTCCGCCGCTGCGAGCGTTTGCAAGGCGAGATGCGTGATCAGCTGAAACAGCTCGCCGACGTCGCTGACCGAGTCAAGGGCGTGTCCAGCGAAATCGGCGAGGATGGCAAACGGATGGAGGGGTCCCGCAACGGAGAAGCACTGGACCAGCGACTGCAGGCAGCGAAGGACAAGCAGGCACAGCTTGTACAACGCTACGAAGCACTGCGTAACAAGGTCCTGAAATCCGGTGGCCGGCCACTCAGCGATAAGGAGAAGTCGTGGGTCACTGAAGTTGAGACATTGTCAGAGTCAGTGGATCAGCCGGAGGGCGATGGCGACCTGACACAACGACTCGCTGCTGTATGTTCATTCCAGTGTGTCTAATAAGCATGATACTGACAATTGTATAGGTTAAGGAGATTGCCGGCGATCTCCTCAGCGAGGCCAAGACTCTCGCAGTCAAGTCGCCCATCGCTGCTGAACCGGGCAGTCCAGCATCGCCAGGTGGTGCTCAACCCCGTGTTTCGGTTTCAGCACGACTGCAAAAGCAAAAGGTTGCGGATGCTATGCTGATGGTGGAACGAGAGTACGTCTGCTTCATTCTTCATGACATTGGGGTCATATGCTAATGAGATACTCTAGATCGGCCATCATCGACAACATCACATTGCGTCTCGAACGGCTCAACACAGCGTTATAATGGATACCACAGTAGTTAGAAGCATGCATGAAATGGCTTGTTTTGACTTGACTAGAAATACTAGAATGCAATCACGGTCAATCTCTACCCACATCAAACAAACCCATCATATTGATGAGACCGTAGAACTAGAAGAATCCCTCTGATCCTCCACCCTCGCCATCGCCATATCCATCTCCATATCCTCCTCATCAGCCGTATCCCTCCTCTTAGGCCCCCGTACCCTCCCTCTCCCAAACCGTCTCTTCTCCCTCCCCATCACCCCGGTGCCATGACAAACGCGCGACGAGGCAATCGAATCACAAACTCTACTCAGGTCACACCGAAGCACCACCAGTTCTTCCTCTGAGGAGGAGGAGGACGCTTCTATATATTCTTCCTCATCTCCTTCTCCCTCTCCATCTCCCTCTCCATACCAACCCCCTTCACTCTCAAGACTACTCCCACCACCACCATCACCCCCCAAACAACAACCATCATCCCCACCATGCTCTCCCAACCGGAACTCCTGAACACCATCATCCTGACCATGCTGTTCATCATCTACATCCAAACAATCAAACTCAACACTCGAGTCAAATCCCTCAAGACATGCCATCAGAGTGTATAGTCTGTTCATCCTCCGTTCGGAATATCTACTGCTGCTGCTGTCGCTGCAAGCTTCGCAGAGGAGATTGTTCCGCCGACGCGTTCCCTCGACTATTATCATCTCGCGCCGGATACACCGGTTCCAGGGGATGAGGCGGCAGGGCGTGAATGTTGTGGTGGTGAGGCACCCGCAGAGGGGGTGTTTGGTTGTTAGGGTTAGGCACATTGTTGTTGGGGTACTTTTTCTTGGGGGTTGAGGGTGTGAGGTTTTTCTGGGTGGTAGATGCTAGCTAGGTTTGAGAGTGCACTGCAGTGGTTAGTATTGGGATTTTCAATGATGAGTGGGTGTTGGTTGGGGTGGAGGGATGGATATATATCTGGGTGTGGTGGGTGGATGTGTGTGTTGTCTGTTGGGTGAGATGGAAAGAATGATGCATGGCGATAGTGTTTAGAATATGGTGATAGAAAACAGAAGCAAGACACAGGAGGTATATGGATGTTCTTAAAGGTATTGTGGCTTGATGATGACCTACCTCTTCTCAGGATAGGATAATCCTAGTAGGGTTTGATGCTCACGTGAAGAATGAAGAGTAGTAGTGAATCGAATCACATGGATAAATCTGAGTGATCTGAGAAGGAGATGATCAGTGCTTTAAGTATTGTACTCAAAGAAAGTTAAAGAGCGAAGAAACTCTGGTCTCTCTACTAAGTTGTGAACTGTGGCATGAACGGCAGGTGGTGTCGTTTGGCAGCGTCGGTATGGGAACTGTCAGATTATAACGGGCAAGTGTCTGGGTGTTTCCGACTAAATCCAAACAGCACTACAGTGAATGTATTGTCAAAGCAATTTATATTTTTCATCCAAAGCAATGTATGGATATGTCCACACTTGAATAAAGAAATAGCCGAAATATCCAACCAAAGCAATTTCCCAAGCTAATATGCATATTCTCATTCAATATCAGTCAAGACACTCGTAGCCCCAAAATGGACAACCAATAACCCCATAGCCTCATCTAACACCGTACTTCATGCAGCTGGTCGTTCAAGAAGGAAGAGCTAGTAGCTATGCGGACCTGTTGCGAAGGCTTTCCAAGTTCGTGCAATTGCCTCACCACCTTCGACTTTCTGGGTGATGGCCGTGGCCAGCTCGTCCACAGCGACCTCGTATAGAGGAGAATAAGGGACGGACCGCGACAAAGGAACCAACTTTAGGATCTCCGTATGAAAGTCCCCCTGCTTCCAGGCATTGAACGCCGGAAGGACATCCGCCGGTAATTGGAATTTAAAATTACTGGTCGCCAGCTGGTGGTAGGCAAATAATCTGGCGTTGTAGACTCCCAAACGAGCATTCCACACCATTTGATCATAAAATTCCTTGTAGGCTGTGTATCTGCGCCGGTGCGAGCCAAGAGTGATCGAACCTTCAGGGATTTTCAGGTCCGCCACCGCAGTAGGCCGGGCTTTGACAGGATTGTTGTCCTTGTCCCACCCAAGGAGGAGGTGGACAGATTGAATATGCCGTTGAAGAATTGGAGAGTCTTCGTCAGGGTGTAGGTACTCGTACCTCCTTCGGTACTAGAAGTTATAGATCCGTATGACTATAATGGCTCGGTAGGCCTCGAAGCGTAATTGTGATAGGATGTAGATGAACCTCGTGGGAAAGAACCTAGAAAGGTGCGGAGGAAGGTAGATGCATTCAGCTCTTATGCCAGATTAAGTCAGGACGTCGTTGATATGTTGTTCTGAGACCGACAGCATGCCCTGCTCAGCCATGTAGGCGTCGACGGATTCAGGCAGCGGTGAGAAGGGGAATTTGGTAGACCCAGACGCTGGCGAGGACATATTTGTTGAGTACTCCCTTTCTGGGATGGAATCTGAGGAGGCTGAGCGATGAAAGATGGAAGGTCGTTAGATGAAGGCACTGCAAAAGGACAGGACTGCACTTGTGCAGAGCGACGGAGAGAGCTGAAGCTCTCGCGGAAGCTCCCCCATCACCGCCTCCATCTGCCTAGTCGGGCAGGCTAGTCGGACAAGGATGGAAAACCATAAATGTGAATGGAATGGAATTCCAGCCTTCCATTGCTTCATCTTTCCTTGATCCATGTTTGCTAGCACCAGGTTGATAGTCGAGACAGTAAAGGTAGAAGAAGAAGAGGCAACGTAGCTGCAGCAAATGATGGTATCCCAAGCCAATGTGATCGATGAGAAGCTTTGACAGATCTGATGGTCTGACAGACAGGAGTAATAGCTATCGGTGTCACCTCAACAGACAAGTAGGACAGGATCCGAGGGAACACCAACCTTGCAATCCGGTCTTGTGCTGACGACGTAGAGTAGGTTGAACTTGATCTGATTGATTATTAGGGTTGTGTTTGCTGACGGATAAAGCTAGTTTAGAAAGCTAGATACTGAGATGTAGAACATGATCTACTTGGAGAGTTGTAGATAGATCACGGCCGGTACGCTATACAATAGGACGAAGGTCAGCACGAAATCATTATGATACCACATTCAATAGCAGGGGGCAAACACTGCAGGTTGAACAAACCGAATGGAAGATCAAGTTCTTTGGGCCATTGATATAAGGCGCCTCTCATATGCAAGTCACACTTTCATTCCTTTCATCCAAGTCAGTAGCAACAGTATGCATCATACAGCCACTGTCTTGCAGCGCTTGACATACGACTTAAAGATACGTTGCATAACTTGATCAAGACTACATATCTACGCTGAATGGCAAATTGCGAAGAAGAACTCATGTAAAAAGATATAGAAATCTCTTCCGAGTAAATACACGTAGTATATATGTCATCATAGAAATTTACTGAACCCTGCAATATCCAATACGTTAGCAAGTGCTGATCAACAACGCAAATCTCTGAATCGCACTCAGATCACGTACCGTTCAATCAAATGGACACCAGAGGCCGTCTCCACAATCCCACTGACCTGACCAGGCTGGAGTGCAAAGGCGGCGTCCTCGAACTCTTTCTGCATCTCATTCCGTCCAAAGAAGCCCCTAACATAGATTAGTCCAGTATCTGCAGCGACACTCATAAATACGTACAGATCTCCACGTTTCCTAGCACTGCTGCAGTCGGACTCCGATACAGCAATGTCACCCAGACTGGCTTCTCCCGCATTGATGCGCGCCTCGTGGCTCCGGAGGATCTCGATAGCCTCCTCCTTCGAACGGGTGATTTCAGCTTCCCTCCAGCTACTGGGACGCCTACTGTCCCTGTGCTTAACAAGAAGATGGCTGCAGCGGATCTTGCCCTCATTGTGACCGTTTCCATCAGAGCGTCCTGCGGGTCCGCTGTGGTAGTTGGCCATATAGAACTTAAGCTTCTCTGTATCTGTGTCGGCCGGCGGCTCCCAGCGAGACTCTTTCGTCATAGGGTTGAAGTAGTAGGGAAGGTTCTTAGAGTTGGAGTGGCGAACCTCCCAACCTGCCGGAAGACCTGTCTCTACCTGTAGTGTTTACAGTCAGCACAGATGCCAAATTTGGTAAACATGATCTTCTATGATAGGATTAATATCGGCATACCATGTTGTGGAAAAGGATGTGTGTATATCTAAAATCTGCGGAGGAGTCTATAGCTATACGAAGGAAGACAAGGATCCAGAAATGACGCGGGGGGACTAGTGGAGTTATATAAAGTTGCAGGAGTCGGAGAGGCTTTGCTGGTACTTGCAGCTGCGGGACAAACTGCGGGGGAGGGATGACTGCAAACACTGCAAACATTGACGGGGCGGTGAGCTGCAAGTCATGGAACTAGCCGGTGGTGCTTGGTTCAACGCTTCTTCCGACTTCCATTGACGATCTCCCCGGCCATCTCTCTATTCCCATCAGCCACTCTTCGCGTCTTTCGTTTCTATCTATTTCAAGTGAAAGCTTTCCAGCGGATACAACACACTCGCTCCATATCAATACGCGTGAAGTCATTACTTTCCGGCACACTTCATCAGTAACACAACCTCCGAAAATGTCTGCCAGCCCTTCCCCCTCTGCCGGTGGCGATAGCAAGCCCACCGATCAAATTCACTTTCGATTCTGTCGCGAATGGTAAGTTTTGATCTCTTCATCCTTTCTGAACCTTCTGCTAACGTCTACAGTTCCAACTTGCTCTACCCGAAGGAAGACCGCATCAACAACCGGTTGATGTTCACCTGCCGAACCTGCCATGTCGGCGAGCCCGCAACCTCCTACTGCGTTTACCAAAACAAGCTCAGCACTCAAGTCGGAGATACCGCTGGTGTGACCCAGGATGTGGGATCTGATCCTACGGTTTGTCTCCCGGGTTTCTGTGATCATTGTGGGGAAGAGATTACCTGCTTCGTCTGTGACACATCCTCCGAGGACTCCTGGTCCGAAGAGGATTATGATGGCTTTTCGTCGTCATGAGGTCCAGCATGCGCTGCGCTCGCGTCATGGATAAATTCCAAGTTGTCTTGAAATTTCCGTGGCTAACCCACTCTTTCCTTAGCTTCCTCGTTCCAACAAGCTCTGCCCGAGCTGCGGCGAAGCCGATGCAGTCTTCTTCCAGTCGCAACAGCGTTCCGCAGAAACGGGAATGGTAAGCCTTCATGCCGGTTCACCCCGCATCCATGAAGGTATCGGCTGACGCTTACTTTCCAGAAACTTTACTACGTCTGTTGCGCGTGCGGCAATGTTTTCGTCTAATTCTCGATTTGCCATACTACATGTCATGTACCTGATACCCGATCTTGGTTTTTGTTCCGTTAAGCAGCATTTTTTTGTGGAGTTCTGGCGATGTTTGGGCAAAGAAAAGGGGAGTTTGAAAAGAGAGAGAAATTTCTATTGCTACAAACGGGATAAATATAAGAACAATTCGCTTCCAAATAAAAGGTATATCCTACACATGCATCGGCGCCAACGACAGGATCTTCGACCACTGTCGTCCTCGTAGTTCCGTAGCCACGACACCTAGTATATGTCAGTAAAACCATTTCTCTAATACCGACTCGATCATGTTCCGCTGTAATTGGCTAGACTGACCGTTCATTCTTGTTCCGATGGGGTCTCCGGACTTGTTGACGAGAACACAGGCATTGTCATCGAACTTGACGATCGAACCATCCGGGCGCTGCATTTCCTTGGCCGCGCGGACGACGACGGCATGGCGAATGTCTCCTCGGCGAACCTTGTTTGCGATACCGACGTTGTTGCTGCTGTCGGGGCCGAAATTTCGTTGCTTCTGGACCACGACCACAATGCGGTCACCTGTTCATCCCGGAACTCCAACATCAGCGGAAACCCTTTGATAATGAATTGGAAACGGTGAAATGATCGTACCAACGGTGGCGGGGCGCTTCTTTTTCAGGACATTCACGCACTCGACAACGGCGGCGCCGGAGTTGTCGATGCAGTTGAGCATTGTCTGGATCGGGAGTTTGTCAGTCCGCGAAAAATTTCCTCTCCCCCATCACGAACACCAGTAGAATCCCTCACACACCTTTAATTGAATCATCTTGACTGTGTACCCTGTCCGGAGGTGGAAAGAACGTCGGGGGGAGTGAGGGGAGTATAGAGAGAGATGGGGATGGCCGAAAGAAAAGCAGCGCCAGGCAGTTTGGCGGGCCGGCAGGTTTCGCCGACGACCGACCCCGGACGGGGACACTGCAGCAGCGACCAGCGCCAGCCTTCACATTAATTATTACTACTATCATGTCAATCTGCGAGTTTGTCCTTTCATGCGCGCTAACTTTCACTGCCTCTCCTTCGTTTCCTTTGTTCATCATGCCAGTCACTTCTCTTCGTATTCACGTCGTTCCCTAAAATTTTTCTTCTCAATCCCGCTCCTTTCCCACCCCCCAAAACTGTTTGGCGCCCATATATATTTCTACTTAGTAGTAGTCTCGTCTTCTCTGCTTCCCGACCTTCCGCTGTTTCTTCCCCTTGACGCTTTGACGCCTCATTCCTACCATTAATCCCACCCACACTCTTATCACCCCCTCAAATCCTCTTGCATGGGATCGTCTGGGTCGAAAGTTCACGATGCCGGTCTCCAAGGCAAAATCCAGCCCCTCCGATGACCGTCGGGATCGGCTTACGCTCGCGAAACTGGCCAGCTACGACGACGTCGCAACAGATGCGCTGGTTGACCGTGTACGTTTATGACTCTCGATTGGCCGTCATGTAGCTGATCGCTGACTATACTATCCTCGCAGGCGTACTTTTGGACCAACACTCGCAAGAATCGCACTAAATACAACCCCGCCCGCGGCATCAGAGATGATGATGTGGCTAGCACTCTTCTTCACGATGTCATTGTCAACAAAGACGCTGCCAAAGCGGAAGAGAAGCTGTTGAGCATGCCGGGTCTCAAGAAGTACCTGGCTAAGCTGCCTACTGACCGGGAGAAAGAATGGTTTCGCCGCCATCTCCGCAAATACATCCAGATGTATCTCCCCGACTCCCCCTTTGAGGTGACTACGACCAATCGCTACACGGTGACCGAGCATGAGGCTGCCATCTGCGCCCGCAAATTCATTAAGCAGGGCCAGGAGATCAAGTACCTCAGCGGGACCCTCGTACCCATGACCAAGGAAGAGGAGCAGGATCTGGATTTGAAAAGAAAGGATTTTAGCATTGTCATGTCGAGTCGCAGAAAAACCCCCTCTTTCTTCCTGGGCCCCGCTCGGTTCGCCAATCACGATTGCAACGCCAACGGACGACTGGTGACGCGCGGCATGGAAGGCATGCAAGTCGTTGCCATCCGCAACATTCATATCGGAGAGGAAATCACCGTGTCTTACGGAGAGGATTACTTCGGCATTGACAATTGCGAGTGTCTTTGTTTGACATGCGAACGGGCCGTCCGCAATGGCTGGGCACCCCAGCTCGATTCCGACCAAGAGAGTCCCGCCTCCACGCCAGCTTACGACGAGCCTGCGCTCTCTGAGGCTCTCCTTTCGCCCAAGAAACGCAAGCACGTCCCCGACACCGATTCAGAGAGCTCTCCCTCGTCGACTCCCCGCAAACGAACCAAGTTTACTCGCCAGAGCTCCAAGTTGAGATCCGAAGTCGTGTTTTCTGATCTCACAGCCTCGATTGAGTCTTCCACGGTCCAGCCAGCGGACACCGGGCTTTCCTCCCAAGCTTTATCCGTGCCACACGCTGCCGCAGCCGAAACCGCCAATGACCACGTCATCGACAACAAGAGTGACATCCATGCCGAATCGACCGCGCAAAGTACCACCACTACCACCGCCGATCCTGATTCACCCGGTTCACTGGACGATTCGCACCGCTCGTCAACTTCAACAGCCGCGACGTCCGTTTGTGATAACCCGGTGCGAATCAAGGTCGAGGAAATTACCGAGACTACCGTGCAGGCACCAATTTTGACTGTCGAGGGACGCCTTGATCTCTCCACTGAGCCAGAACGACGTATGCTGGGTGTAGACAACGATGCATTGTCGGACTTGTCAGACTCACTGGAACTAGACGAGAAGCTCGGTACCGTGGTGAAAAAGTCCCGAAAATCCCGCAGCAAGGAAGTGGTTCCCTCAGTCGAGGTTGAGCCGCCCCGTGCTCGGGTTCCTGGCGACTACACCAAAACCTCGAAACTTCTAGCACAAGCGTACGATCGCTGGGTGGATTGCCGCACATGCAATGCCTGGTTTGTTCAGCAAGATTCCTACCTGACGCGACGTGAGTGTCCCCGGTGCGAACGGCACTCCAAGCTGTATGGATTCCAGTGGCCAAAAACCGACAGAGAGGGCCCTGGGGATGACGAGGAACGTGTGATGGACCACCGCACTGTGCACCGATTCTTGTACCCAGAGGAAGAAGCGCTCATTTCGCGCAAGGACCGCGGTGTCAGTTTTGGAATAACCCCGACGCCCGAACTGTCCGAGCCTCACGCAGAGACCGAGGACAGTGAAGCCGGCGAGGACCGACGCAACACGCGCGCCAGCCGACGACGTACCCGGTCCCTTCGGATGACTATGTAATGATGGATATGGATCGATTTTGGGAGTACTAATCCTGGAGTTTGGTTTTTCTTTGGAGTCCGGTGGAGTCCGGTTTGGAAGAATAGGCGTTTTTATCACAGTGGGCACGAGCGTTGCCATGAGCCCGGCGATATTGAAAGGCTTTTTGAGACGTTTGAAAGATCTTGCTTCCCATTCATCTGGTCTGGCTTTGGCTTTGTCCAGTCTAATGATTCCGCATTTGGTTACCCTGTATAGATTACTGCTCGTTTCCTGGCCCTTGGTACACTTCTGTACTTACACGACTTTATCCCCAACCCGGGGTCTTGGAATTAACTTATTTTTACCCGTCGGCTGACGGACATTGCTTGAAGAATCTTTTCCTCCTCATCCTTCCCCCCGCAAATTGCTGGTGCCGCATCTCCGCATCTCCGTCATGCTGCATCGTGGAGTAGAATAATTGCACCAATGGCAGCCCTGTCGGCGCTTTGATCCCCTTGGATTTCTTGTCCTCATGATATGCTCGTGCAGGTATTCCAGGAACTCCGATATTGAATCTTAATGAACTTCGGTCTGCTTCATACCGACCTCACTCAACCATCGCAGCCATGATGCCCTATAAAACACTGCTGCTCTCGGCGCAGCTCTCCCCAGCCAGGTCCACCAGGGATACAACCACCACCTGCAGCCATGGCCTTCCCACGCCTCCTGCTGGCCCTGTGCTTCCTGCTAACACACTCCCTCACCAGCGCCTACGACGCCCCCCTCGTCACTCTAGACTATGGCACCTTCCAGGGCAGCTATGATGCCACCTACAACCTCTCCTACTTTCGCAAAATCCCCTTTGCAGCACCTGCCACTGGCGAGAACCGCTTTCGAGCTCCCCAGCCCCCGCTAAACATCAGTACCAATGGCACCTACGACACCGACCAATCCTTCGACATGTGCCCTCAACGCACCGTCAACGGCTCCGAAGACTGCCTCTATTTAGGTCTCTACTCCCGACCCTGGGACACCTCTTCATCTACCACCAGCCGCCCCATCCTCGTCGTCTTCTACGGCGGCGGCTTCATCGAAGGCGATGCCCTCTTTGGCATGCCCCCCAACGCCTACCCCGTCCTCAACGTCAGCACCCTAAACGACTACATCGTCGTCTACACCAACTACCGCGTCAACGCCTTCGGCTTCCTCCCCGGCCAAGCCATCAAAGACTCGCCCACCTCCGACCTCAACCCAGGCCTCCTCGACCAACAATACGCCCTGAAATGGGTCAACTCCCACATCCACCACTTCGGCGGCAACCCCAACAACGTCTCCATCTGGGGCCAATCCGCCGGCGGAGGCTCCGTCGTCGCCCAAATCCTCGCCAACGGCCGCGGCTCCAACCCCAAACTCTTCTCCAAAGCTCTCGCCAGTTCTCCCTTCTGGCCAAAAACCTACGCCTACAACGCCCCAGAAGCAGAAGCCATCTACACCCAGCTCGTCAACCTAACAAACTGCACCGCCGCCTCCGACACCCTCAAATGCCTGAAAGACGTAGACGTCCAATCCATCCGCGACGCAAGCCTCATCATCGACGCAGATAACACTTACACCACCTCATCCTACACCTGGGCCCCCGTCATCGACGGAACCTTCCTCATCGAACCCCTCACCACCGCTATCTCCTCCAATTCCCTAAAGACAGACCTCATCTGGGGCATGTACAACGCCCACGAAGGCGAGAACTTCATTCCCCCCGGACTAGAAGACACAGACACCACGAACGGATTCAACTCCTCCCTCGCATCCTTCCATACCTGGTTAACCGGGTTCCTCCCCGGTCTTGATACAAATGACATAGATCTCATCGAATCGAAACACTACCCTGTTTCTGGAACAGCAGAAACATTATCCTATAACACGACGTTCGTACGCGCAGGGCTGGTGTACAGAGACGTGGTCCTCGCGTGCCCAGCATATTGGGTTGCTTCTGCGGCGAAGGAGAAGGGGTATGTCGGGGAGTATGTGATTCCACCGGCGAGACATGGGAGTGATACGGAGTGGGTATGTTGTCCATTCCCTTTTATCTTTCGTTCTAGTTATGTAGTATATGCTGTCTGTCTATGGAGATGATACCGATACTAATGCTGTGACTGTGACTAGTGGGACACCGTTTCGAGCGTACAACAAACCGACCCGTTAATCTACGACGGCTACGCGGGCGCATTCGCCAGCTTTTTCCAGACGGGGGACCCCAACGCGCATAAATTGACCAATGCGTCGGAGCCCGGCGTGCCGGAGGTACAGGAGTCAGGGGAGGAGTTTGTGATTGCTACGGAGGGGTTTGAGAATGTGGGGTTGACGGAGTTGAAGGATCGGTGTGCGTTTTGGAAGTCGGTTGGGGGGAAGATTCCTATTTAGTTTATTTTATTTTCATTTACTGTGGTAGTCTATTTAAGTGATGGGTAGGTGTTGTTTATAGTGTACAGGTGTGGTGAGGAAGAGGAATCTAAGTAGAGAGATGATGTGGTGGGGAAATATACAAATTATAATACATGAGGTACAGCCGTGTATATCCTGAGTGATGCTTCAAGTCAATGCATACATACAATGCA